CTCTCCACGCCCGTGTCTGTGTCGATTTGGCCCCATCGACATGGTCTACTCGTCTCCGCTGGGGCAGACCAACACGTCTCCTAGTGCCACTTGCCGTGGTGACGCAGTTTCACCAGCCAACCACACCAACTCGTCTCGCCTCGGCGACTGCAACTGCAACTGCAACTGCTTGGCTCCGGCCGGTAACTACGTAATTGGAAAGCTCACAACCGGACTTGTTAGGAAAGCAGACGAGGCGAAGAGTCCAGAAGAGAGAAGCGATCAAACCGCCACCATACCGCCTGCCCAGGACCGTAAGAATGGAGGGGAATGTGCAGAACGGTGTTGGACGATGCACAAAGCCACACGGACAGACAGACATACATGCAAATAGAGGCAAATGCACATATCGGTTGGTCGCCGCCTGACGCCCGACAATGCCTCTATTTTTATACCGGTCCAGTGATCACAAACTGTGAAGAGAAGTGCTGTTGCTGGCACCTGGGCGACTCAACAGCCTCTCTCTCTCTCTTTCAATCTTTCATTCAAGCATAAGTAGTTCCTACTCGACTTTCTACCACTGTTCTCACATTCAACATATTTCCTAATCTATCAATTTCAATAGCCTCTCTTATCTTTCTTTTAACTCAGCAAATTCACTAGTTTGAGATCATTCTATCTCATGTCCAGTTTCTACCATGTGTTCAGCCACTTTTGACCGTTGCACCCAGTTTCCTTTACCAGCATTTTTGTGTTCCCCCAATCTTTGTCGAATAGGTCGGCATGTCTCACCAACATAACGTCGACCACATGAGCAAACAATGTTGTGGCAGCCGGATCTCAATAATTAGCCAAGCTTCCAAGCCTACATCTCATTATCTCAATCATACTCGCTTACGGGCTTACGCAGTCTCGGTCAGGGCTTTCTTTTGGGTCATTAAGCCTTGATAACTTTGATTTAGGACCGGTATTGTGTGTAGACGCTAACACACACATACACACACATGCATGCATGCACACACACTCGAGCAAAAGTAGCATGACCAATTTGAAAGATAATTAGCTAAAGCATTCTATATCTATCTAGGTTTTTAATTATATTTGGCTTAAGTCAGTCTATATAAGAGGTAAGATAGAGCCGGATAGTCTTCTTGTCCTAGTCTTAACTTGAAACTTTTACAAGAATGAGTTCCAGCTCTGATAATGCCCATCATATGATATACGAAAGCTCGGACCATTTTGACCTGAAACGAGGGAGGAAGTCGTATAAAAGCCAAACGACTGCAGTGCAACGGGATTCAGCCATCCTCTTCTGGGGAGATACACCTACGAATCTCTTTTTCACGTATTATCATACGAAATGAAAGTCCCCCAACAATGTTACTCTTAATACACCAGCAATAAATATATTGTAATGTTCACAAAAGAAGAAGAAAAGAAAAATGGTAAACAATTTTTAAGGTTATTTGACTAATTATTGGGAGTAATTGGACATGACTGCTTATATGAACCCATCCTATGCTGCTTGCGTAATTAATATCACAGTGTTGAATTGAATGATTATGAATAGTGTAAAAGAAAGTACAGTTATAATGGCTTAAATTGTTGTCAATTGACAATACTCACCATTTACATTACGAGTAAGGAGAATGTCTTGGCTCTAACTTGTTTGCGCAACTTGGTCGGAGCGTCATGGAGACCTGGTAGAAAGTACCTAGTCCCATGTCCTCTGCCATAGTCTTTGTGATGTTCAGCACTGTAACATTTGCTGGGTACACTCCAAAACGTTTCGCTGGCATCGTCAGTGAGAGGCGTCATCGTCAACACATAGTTACAATTTATCCCATTTGCCAATCCCCTTGACCAGGATTGCCTTCACTTGCCATTTTGATAAGTTGTAACTCTGTGCGAAACGTTTGGAAATGCACCCACCCCATTGGCTGGAAATCACGAATACTATGGCAGAGGACACGGGACTAGGTACGTTCCACAAGGTCTCCCTGACGCTCCAACCAAGTTGAGAAAACAAGGTCGAACCAATACTATACAACTAAAAGAGACTGCGACTAAACAGAAGGCCCCAGCACCTTGGTCTTCATATCTACTAAGGATAATGTATAGTTAATTAGGAGTTAATTTTTAAGACGAAGATAATTCTACGAAGAAAAGTTGGGTTTCGAGGAATCTCTTGTTTCATAATTGTTCAGCTTACTTCCATTTTGAGTGGAAGTGTTGGGTAAAGAGATTCGAAGGTCGGTTCCACCAGAAGACGACGGCGGATTCCTCTTGAC